CAGGAGGCCTGGCTCCTGGGCTTTGCCCTGTTCCTGGCTGTGGGTCCCCTGACAGTTTCCTTAAAAGCTGTTAATTGTTTGGACGCAGCTTGCAAATTGCCTGTGTTCATCCCGTGGTCTGTGGTTTGCAGCTGTCTCTGCAAACTCTGGTCACCTGTAGGGATTTCATAAAAATGCTTGGATAGGTCCTGGTTTATGTATCTACCACTAGACTCTGGGCATTGATAATGTTTTTGAAAACTCCCAGGTCTTGCCAGTGACCTAACAGACTGAGAGCCTTGATCCTAGAAATTGAGAGCAGAGTCTGGGCTAATTATCCTGCCTATTTTGCTGGCTAAATGGATAATTATGAGCAAACAACTTAAAATCTTGATGTCTCAGTTTTGCTATTGTGCCACCTCCTGGGGCATTGTGAGTATTAAATGAGGCACTTCCTCTAAAGCTCATGCTTTGGCTTTTGGCTTCTCTCCACCGTGCACCTTCCTCTTTTGCTGCAGGGACTGAAGGGGAAAAAAAAGAAAAAAAGATTCATTCTGCTCTAGCACTCCGGAGAGTGCCCGTCTGAGTTCAGATCTCGGTCAGGTCAGGAGGTCTCGGAATCCCATCGAGCCCCTCCGCCCATCTCCCTCATGTGCTCTACTCTGGCATTTATCCAGGAACTACATCCTTTTTAGGAGATAGTTAGAAAATGTGATATGTGAAAGAAAACACCATTCTTTCTCTACTGTTGCAAAGCCAAAATGTTGGTGCACATTCTGTGGATTGTCCAGCCGTGCCTGTGTGGGTGGGACGGTAGAGAGAGAGGAGTTTCTTGGCCGCAGACCTCTGTCCAAGGTGCTCAGAGGCTCTGCTGGATCCTGTTCATAATTCACTTTTTTTTTCTTCTTTCTTAGTTCATTCTTTTCCACCAGTGGCCTTGAAGTCAACCCAAAATATTTGTAATGTAACAAACCCTGAGGAAAAACACAAAATTAAACTTCCGGTCTTCAGATCCCTCCCAGGGTCAGCACTGAGCAGCTCTGCACAGGCGAGCACACCTAACCCTGTGGGTCAGACAGGGTTCTTCTCACCTGTGTGATCTGGTCAAGGTGAGGCAGATCTCATCTTTTAACATCAGAAATACACAGTAGTCAAGGACCAGCGAGATAGCTCAGCGGACTAAGGGCCTGCTTAGGCAAGCGTGGGGAACCAGAGTTTGATCCCGGGTCCCTCTTGCCATGCAGGCCCCACTCCCAGGACACACTGAGCCAGCAAATGAGCCTGGGCATGGTGGCACAGGCCTGTAATCCCAGCACTAGGGAGGCTTAAAACAGGAGGATCATTACGAGTCTGAGCTGCATAGTGAGACCCTGCACAAAATGCATTAAAAAAAAAAGAAAAAGAAACATACAGTAGTAGCAGCGGTAGAGTACTTGGCCCTAGCGTACTCCAGGCCCTGGGTTCTATTCCTAGCACTGCAACCCCCCCGCAAGATTTCATCTTATTTTGTTGTATTGATATGGGGTGTATCTGTTGTGGGTATGAACCTTCCTCTGCTTCAGGAAGAACATTAACCAACCTTTGGAGTAAAGGATGATTTTCCTTGGACAGAGCAAAAATTACTGCATCCAGCAGAAGTCTTACAAAATATATTTTCAAGGGCAGTTTTGTGATGTGGAATAGGGTCTGCTTCTCTGCAGCTGCAGGGAAATAGAGCCCTGGTGTTTTATGACAGCTTTCCGTCCTTCTCACGTGCAGCCCTGACAGCAGCCCTGTCATGTGGGCACTATCCGTCATCCTAACAGCAGTCCTGCGATATTAGCTCTATACTGATCCCAAGGTGCAGGTGCAGCAGGTGGCAGCACCGGGTTCTGAACGCAGGTCTTTATGGCTGGCATCCACCTTTAACCCCTGCGCTTCACTGCTGCACCTTTTCCAGGTTTCCTGGGGTCAATAGTGGACAGCTGGGAGCCACGCTGGGTACAGCTGTGCAGGCCCCTTGTCCCCAAGTGCTCAGGGTACACTTGCCTTTCATTCATGGCTTCTTTCCTGTTACCCTGTCCTGCCTTCTCAGGTCTCTGCCTGTCCCTAGAAAAAGGAGGAGAAAATGACCAAATTCCAGGTGAGTTGATTTTCATTTCTGCCATTTATGGCTCATTTTTCAGAGGACACACACACACACACACACACACACACTCCTAGCCAAAATTAAGAATGGCAACATTGCAACATTCTTTTGACACTATTTACTGTCAATTACTCTTGGCTTTTGTTTTGTCCTTTAACTTTCTTTTTCTTCATTTTTTTTTTTTTTTTGCTTTTTGAGACAGTGTTGTGCTATGTGTCTCAGGCTGGCCTCGAACTTAGCTGTGCTGCACATGGCTGGCCTTGAGTGCAGAGTGATCCTCCTGCCTCAGCCTCTCATGGCTGAGAGTAACACATGTGCCTTCCACGCCTGGCTTCTTCTTAGCTTTTGGCATTTTTATTTTACAAATAATAGTATGAAAGAGAATAGAAATTTTAAATTCTCATGCATTATTGTGCTAACTCTCTTGGGTTTTTTCATAGTTATTTTAAAATATACCTTCATAAATGTACTTGCAATAATAAGTATTATTTTAAATTGGAGAGGTTTTTGCTTCAAATAATAACGTTTTTATTATCTAATATTATTTCAGTATACTGTTATTATTCCCACCATTACCTTTTTCTTTAGATTATTTCCCACTCACAAGCTTTCAAATTCCTGAGGATCCTTACAGTTATGCACTGCATCAGCAGTTTTCCTACATATAATCTTTACGTAAAAAGCTATTTTGAGAGAATTCAATTTTCTTGTCTCTAATATTCTAAAGACTTTAAAAAAAAAAAAAATTCCACCCCCAAGTGATGCCTTTGGAACTTTGTAAAAAGAATACCTAAAGTACAGTTTTGTCTAACAAAATCATACTGAAGCCAAATTTGAAAAAAAAAAAAATCTCATACAAGAAGAGTTAGATAATTTCATCCCAGTACCTGAAGCTTTTTCTCTGTGTGTTGTGGATGTGTGCTTTGTTATTCATGAATTAATTTATTATCTCACAAAGGTGATTGATTTAGTATTTTTTAAGTCATACTGTAGGACTGGTAGGACTTTTTTTTTTTTTTTTTTTTTTTTTTTTCGTACTGTGGATTGAACTCAGGACCTGTCACTTGCTAGGCAGGTGCTTATGCCACTGAACTAGCTTCCAGGTCCTGAAAGAGACTTTTTTTTTTTTTTTTTTTTTTTTTTTTGGTGGAACCGGGGATTGAACTCAGGCCCTTGCGCTTGCCAGGGAAGTGCTTATTCTACTGAGCCATCTTCCTGGCCCCAGAAAGAGACTTTTTAATCTGTCCTTATAGTCATAGTTCCAAGCAACTGAGTCGGAGCTTGAGGGCATTTGCACTGTTCCCATGAAGATCAGAGATTCTGGTTCTCAAAGACAAGGGTCCAGCCAGCTCAGAGCCTTCCCCTTCTGGTCAGCAGAGTCAGTAGGCCCCTAGCGGTAATGACACAAAATTGCAGCGCAAACCAGACCTGGATTCATTCAGCGGGAGCTTGGCATGCAATTTGGACTAATATTTCCATCGTACCTGGAAATAAAGACTTTTGTGCACCTAAATGAATATTATTTTTTAAGTATCAGTATTATTTATTTATTTATTTATTTATTTATTTATTTTGGAACCAGGGATTGAACTCGGGCTCTTGTGCTCACCAGGCAAGCGCTTATTCTACTGAGCCATCATCTCCCCGGCCCCCAAATGAATATTATTATAAAATAAGAAATAAACAGCAAACATAAAGAGTCATATTTATAACTACTCAACTTTGAGAATTAAAAAAAAAAGTTAGTTGTTACTTTCCAAATTTACTTCTGAGATTATTAAAGGTTTATGTCCATTTGTTTACAGTATTATCTAGTGTTGGAACAGTATAGAATTAATATTTTTTTTTTTTTGGAACCAGGGATTGAACTCAGGTCCTTGCACTTGCCGGGGAAGCGCTTATTCCACTGAGCCATATCCCCGGCCCTAGAATTAATATTTTATTGGAGGAAGACTTAGTTTGAACACATGGGGGAAGGTTTTCACAGCTGCCTTAATGGTTTCAAAATGTCAAAAGTCACCGTTCTTCACCATGGTCCTTTCTCCTTTCTGGTATTTATTTTGAAGAGATAGCCAGCAGATTTCCAGGGACTGAGAACTATGTAAAAGGGTATTTTCTGCACTAGTTTTTATACTATGTAATCTAAAACTAAACAAGTATGTATTAATTAAATCAGTTCATTATAGTGTAGATCATGAGTTCCTTGAATGACTAGCCCTAAAATGGGATGAAAATAATGCTCATGAGGTGACAACTGCTAGCTGACCTTTTTGGGCAGTTCCTGTGTGACAGGGGCTGTTCCTAAATGCTCCTCATTTTATCCCTGGGACTCTGTGGTACACGGATCAGCCTATAAATGAGAGAAGGAGAAACTTGTCCATGATCACAAACCTGCTAGCGTAGGGCAGAACATCTGGATGTGAACACAGGCTGTCAGCCTCCAGATGTGGCACAAAGGCAGAAGAATACATTGGCAGGTTAAGTAAGCACTGTATTCACGTAAAAGGGGGGAAACAGACCAACAGGCACATGTCTAATAGCATGTAAAATACCCACAGCCCAGGATCAGTGGAGCTCCAGGGTGTGCGTTTAGGAATGCCAACAAAAGGCAGAAAATGCAAGGACTTCTCCCTTTGTCTTTTTTTTTTTTTTTTTTTTTTCCAAAACTGGGGATTAGAACTCAGGCCCTTGTGCTTGCCAGGGAATCTGTTATTCTGAGCCATCTCCTCAGCCCCTCCTTTGTTGGCTGGAACCAGCAGTATGAAGGGCAAACCAGAGACATCTACTTAAATTTGATCTGAGCCTCCGAGAATCCAAAGTAACTTTCCCCGCTTTACGCTTTCTCAGCCCTCACCCCGTTCCATAAACAGTCTGTATGTGTTTGATGTGGTAGGAGATGGTGACCTTCAGGGACGTGGCTGTGGTCTTCAGCGAGGAGGAGCTGGGGCTGCTGGACTCGGCCCAGAGGAAGCTGTACCGAGACGTGATGCTGGAGAACTTTAGGAACCTGCTCTCCGTGGGTGAGGACAGCTCGCTGTGTGACCCGTGGTGCCCCCTGGGTGTCTCTATAGGCTCAGCTGTTGGAGGCCCTGGGCTTCTTGAAGTCCTCTAAGAGGGGTGCCCGAAGGGCCTGGACCCCCATGCAGCGCAGATGGGAGGTTTCCGATTGTTCTTTCCAGGCCAGAGTCTCCCTTTTGAGCTATAAATGGACAAATTAGGGTCCTGCTCCATCGGTTTGTCATGGGTTAGCTTAGTTCTAGTTTTGTTTTATTAGGGCACCAGTAACTATTAATTTGATTTGTGGAAAGCATTATTGTTTTTTCTTTAATAGTATATTTAGGGGCCGGAGAGATAGCTGAGCAACATAAGCCCTTGACTGGCAAGAGCAAGGTCCTGAGTTCGATCCCCGGTACCAAAAATAAAAACAAAAAACCATATATTTGTAGGGCCGGGGAGATAGCTCAGTAGAATAAGTGATTTCCTGGCAAGCACAGAGTCCTGAGTTCAATCCCCAGTACCACAAGAAAAAACAGAACGGGCTGGTGAGATGGCTCAGTGGTCTAAAGCACCTACTTAGAACAAGCTTAGCAAAGCACAGGGACTGCGGTTCAATCCCCCAGCACCACATGCCAGCCAGCCCCGCCCCCTGGTGGGCTGAGCTGGCCACACACACACACAAATAAATAATTTTTTTTTAAAAAAAGAAAAAACAAAATGGTATATTTATAAACAATTTCGAATTTTCAGAAAACTTATAAAAATAAATGAGCTGGAATACCTACATGGCTTTATCTGGATTCACTCATAGGATCATTTTTGCTTTTTCTCTCCATATATGTATAAGTAAAGACATATATTTTTATGATTTTTTTTTCTGAATCTTTGAGGGTAATTTACATACATGGCCCTGTGTCCCTTTGTTTCTAAATACTTCAGTGTATATGCAGAGTTTGGGAGTCTTTAAAACCACCCTTCTGATACCAACTGCAAATTTGGAGGGCCCCAAGACCACTCTCAGGCCTGACAAGACACTAGAGGGACTCAGAACTTACTGCATGGCATTGCCTTCATAGGTGTGGGGTAGTGCGGGGAAAGGAGACAGATCAAGCTCCGCAAGGGAGGAAGCCCGTGGGGCAGGCCTGGACCAGACCTGACGCTTCCACTTAGCCTCTTTTTGGGGAGCTAATTATTTCATGTCAAAGTTGTTTCCTTTTGGCTCTTCTGAAGTGGCTTCTACCTGTGGAACGTGCTCTGAGAAATCCTCAGCACAGTGGTCTAGGCTCACCTTTTACTTACCTCAACCCTGGACTCAACCATGTCTATTGTCAGGAAATGGTATTTAACAAAAGGATCTGGATGCTGTGGGCATTGCCACTGTGATATCTTGGGTTCTTATATTCCTGGGATAAAAGTCAGAAGAGTGTGTGTGTGTGTGTGTGTGTGTGCGCGCGCGCGCACACACACACAATACATATATATTTATTTGTACATGAATACGCAGCTATCCATGTAATTTTTAGGTAAGTGAATAAATGTTCAGTTTAATTCAAAATAGAAATACTACAATTAGATTGCTATATCATTTTTTACTCATGAGATTGACAAAAATTCAAAACTTAACACTACTCTGTTGGCACACTATAAAGCATTCTCACATTGAAAATACAGAATGAGACAACCCGCAGGAAGGGGCCAGGCGCTGTCAACAAGCTGTGTGCCTGTTGGTCCTCAGTGATCCATTTTGGGGAATTCTCCTCAAAGACAGCCACCAGTGAAAAGGCACTAATAGTACACTACAATTCGGGTAAGCAAGAACAGCAAATGAGTAAATGTGGATCTGCTTATCTTTAGAAACATGGTAAGGAAAGATTAACCAGAGTCAGGAGGCTGGTTTCTTATACTGGGCGGCAGGTAACAGGTGGAGGGGATGTCACAGGATGCCACGTTTGGCTGTGTGTTCCTTATTAGCTAGTTTTGACAAAGTGAGTATCATCAGACTTCGTTATCTTGCTCTCTTTCCTTCCTTTTTTTTTTTTTAACAGCACATCAGCCCTTCAAACCAGACCTGATAGCCCATTTGGAGAGAGAAGAAAAGGTTTTCATGGTGGAGACAGAAACCCAAAGATATGAATATCCAGGTGAGACTGTGCGGCAGGAACAGCACAGTGCGAGCCCCTTAAAGGCCTAGGGCAGGGCGTGTGGCTTTCGCTTTCCTCCCCAGCGCTGCCACGTCACAGATAGCGAAGAGCCTGTTAGGCCCTGCCGCGTCTGCCCCTGACCCCCAGCCTTCCCTAGTTACCTGCTGCTGCTCTTTCTGCCTGCTCTGTCTGTCCCAGCTGCACTGCGGCAGGCTGCCTGTCAGACCCGTGAGCTCCGCTGTGCGTCAGGTTCGTGACTAGCTTTTCTGTCTGCCTCGACTGGATGAATCCCATAATAGATGCCTGGGCTTTGCCATCTTCAGCCCACTTCAGACAGATGAGAGGTCCAGAACAAACTGTCACTGAGGGACACTACAGAACATTGGCTGTCGTCTGACGAGTGCCTCTCCTGAGTGTTCAGCATCCTTGCATATGCATACGTGGGTGGCCACTACAGCTAAAAGGCAGGAATAGCCACGTAGCTAAAGTAAACATCAAAAAGCAGTCAGTCACAACACTTTCTACCTTTCTTGTGCAGGTGAGACCCTAGAGTTCGTAGGCCCAGCTTCTTGTCTTCCTGTTCTTGCATCTGTCCTCAGCAGCCTCTTGACATAGCTTCAGTCTTGAAGGAGAATTTTCAAGTTGAACATTTCCTTGTGTCCAAATAATTTGGTGGTGTTTCTTGAGTCTTTTGGACTGTAATGTCAGATGTTGTTGTGACAGCTATTTAGCTAAGGTTGCTCCTGGGTAGGAAAAAGAATTTCAGAATGAATGAATCCACTTCTGTGATTTTCATTTCTGCCTCAGTTAGTTTTCTTTTGTCATAAATGGTATGGTACCTTTTCCCACAAATTTTTTTCTCTGAAGATCCAGACAGTAAATAACTTTAGGCTTTGCCAGCCACATACGTTTTTTGTCGCATGCCCTTTGTTTTTGTTACACTTAAAAATGTAAAAACTCACCAGGTGCAGCAGCACACACCTATAGTCCCAGATACTTAGGAAGTGGAAGCAGGAGGATTCTGTGAGCCCAGGACTCCAGGACCAGCCTGGGCAACATAGTGAGACCCCATTTCAAGAAGATAAACAGAAAATAGAAAACCTAATGTTAGGTCAAGGGCTGTATAAAAAAATAGGCTTAGACTATAGTATGCCGTCTCCTTTTCGGATTCCAGCAGCACCAATACAACGTCGCATTTAATTTTTTTACATACACTGCTACCATCTCTACCTGAAGTTAGTGACAAATTATGACCAGATACACTTTTATTTTTAATACATTATTTTTTCTCCTTCTCATGCTTTGGGGGGAAATCCTTCCCAGTCTAAAGTTGTAATTTTTGTGAGTGTGGTTTGTGGCTACATAATATTACAATCTGTAACTAGAACGTGTGTCCTTTTGCTATTTCCTACTCGGGAAGCATTAGTTTATTTCATTTCTTAAATAATATAAGCCATACAACAATAAAACCTCTCAATTCAAATGCCCTATCAAAAATTCAGAGAATAAACCCAAACCTTACACAGAACGCAGCGGCTGGGGTTCAATCCCTGGCATGCCGTGCTGGCCTTGCCTGCGGAGTGTGCTGAGATGGTGATTGAGACTGGGTGTAGTGGCACACTCCTGTAATCCCAGCACTTGGGAGGCTGAAAACAGGAGAACCACTATGAGTCTGATCTATGTAGTGAGACCCTATAGACCCTGTCCTAAGTACAGAAAAAAAAAAAAGATAAAATGCAGATTCTTACAGGCACTCTTGTGGAGGGGATCCCTTCTAGGACAGCAAATTTCCCAGGCTGCAGCCCACCCATCCCTTCCTAAGTCAGCATCCACATCTTTCCTCCCTACATTACCTCTTCCCAGGCCAGGCAAGGACTGTTCAGCGGGAGAGAAACAAGAATGATAAAGATTGGCACTTTCATTCTCTCCATCTGCTATTCAAAAATAAGGAACATTCTTTCTCCATTTTTATGCCCTATGGTTAGCTGTTACATCAACAACCTAATCCAGACTTTGGACAATTGTCAGACCTTTGTTCTCATCACAGTCTAGTTGTGATTTCCTGCTGGTGAACGTCGCCACCTGAGAGGTGAGGAGGTTGCGCTCTTGTGCTGCATTGAGGGAGAGAAGGAATATTCCTCAAGTAGAAAACCACTCCCTGTTTTAAATCATCAGCCTCAGAGGTACAGGCCTACTTTGAGTTTTCTCAACTTACATATCTGAACTTCCTATTTGAACCTTGTAATTGTTTAATGACCTTGGACCTTCCTTAACTCCTCAGACCAGTGATTCTTTAGTCCTTTTGGCCCTGACGGGGTCCTGTAGCCCACCCCCAGCTACTTAGCAGATACAAGTGTTTCATTCAGTGAGATGCCTCACCTGTTCCTCTCACTTCTGTCTTTTAATATTCGGGGTCACAACATGCCAAGTTGATTTTGAGCCTTGCTAGTGGTTCCCCACCATTCGTGTTCTCAAGCTGCACAGACCGAACGTTCCAGCTGTCTCTACCCAACAGTATCCTCTGATGTCTTTCCCAAAGTACAGCCTACTTGATAGGCCACTAACTTTTGTATTCTCTTTTGGAAAGTAGTTTTTTAACTTTTTAAAAAATTTATATAAGACAGATGATTTGACATCTGTGTCTACCCACTTTTCTGAGAGTTAGCCCCTAGGAATTTCTCATCTTAAATTCCACATCTTAGGGTGCCGGGCTAGCTCAGTCGGTAGAGCATGAGAGTCTTCAATTCCTCATCTTTCCAGAGATGAAGGGAATGACCCTGTTTTTCTTCCTTTATCCCTCTAATATTGTAGAATCCACTGGTTCGAGAAGAACTTTAATCTCTTTTATATACTGGAGAGATTATTGTATCATATATTATATACTAATTTTTTTTTTAATTTTTATTTATGTGTGTGTGTGTGTGTGTGTGTGTGTGTGGCCAGCTCAGCCCACCAGGGGGCGGGGCTGGCTGGCATGTGGTGCTGGGGGATTGAACCGCGGTCCCTGTGTTTTGCTAAGCTTGTTCTAAGTAGGCGCTTTAGACCACTGAGCCATCTCACCAGCCCCCTATATACTAATTTTTATTGAAACAATTGCTTTGTTTTTTATTTGGGCCAGGGAGCTAGCTGAATGGAATAAGTGTTTACCTGACAAGCTCAGTGTCCTGAGTTCAATCCCTGGTACCAGGAAACAAAAAACAAAAAACAGGCCACTTCTTTGTTTTCTTTTGTAGTGCTGGGAATTGAACCCAGTGCCTTCCTGCACTCCTAGTCCTGATTAAATTTTTTTATTTTGAGACAAGGTCAAAAAAAAAAAAAAAAGAAAAGATAGGGTCTTGCTAAGTCACTAAATTGCCAGGACTGGGCTTAAGCTTGAGCTCTTCCGCCTGCCTCAGCCTCCCAGAATGCTGGGTTTACAGACCTGCACCAGCAAGGCTGGCTGCAACAGCTGCTTTGTGAGAAGCTTCCTTCATGCCAGTCCCAAAAGACTTGACATTAAATTGTGTGTTTGTGGATATTTGTTGGGCATTTTTGATGACACTAAAAACTATAAGCCTCAACTAACTAGCTGGAAGCCCAGACTTCTTGTTCTGTAGGCTATTTATCTAACAAGCCTCCCTATAATGCATCCTTTTGGTTTATTGTTAGGTGGTAAAATATTAATGCTGTAACTAAAAGCTTTGCTTGGGAGCAGGGAGAGGCATCAGTAAAGTATGTTTTAAAAATACCCAAATGAGTACTTTTGGACCACTGCTGTCCCACAGTTGGTGCCCTGTCCCAGTGCTGTCACTGACCTAAGAGCTGTCACTGGGGGACTTTTTTCTCTGCTTTTTCTGAAGTTTGGGGATAGGATGGGTCTTATAGATAAAACTGTTCAAGGAAAAATACACAATTTTCTATAATTAAATCATTTATTTATTTATTTATTTATTTATTTATTTGGTACAGGGTGTCACTACGCAGCTCAGACTCATAGTGATCCTCCTGTTTTCAGTTGACCCAGCGCTGGGATCACAGGGGCGCGCCGCCGCGCCCACCTGGTCTTTTGAATTGAATCCTGTAACAGTGTTTCATATTCTGATCCGCACCAGGCTTCTTGTTAGTGGTCAAATATCTTTTCAAAGGAATTAAAAATGATAGTGGTTTATGGCGATTTAGAAGAGATTATTGTCAAGATAAATAGCTCCTTAGAGACCAGGAATCCTGATGCCTCAAGTGTAGGTTAAAGGTCTGTGTTCCCCTGCTTCAGCATGGCATTTTACACATAATTGGCTTACAGACAAAAACATGATCATGCTCATGTGCTAAAGAAAAGAGAAAAAGTTATCAGGGCAAAAGGTATTTGTCTGCTTCTAGCCACTGTTATTCTTTCCAAGTCGAGAATATTCCCTTTGGTTTTCTCTCTTGAGTCTTTAGGCCGCCTGTGATAATGTGCTTACGCTTTTTCTAGGTCTTTAGAATGGGATCAGTCGCCATATTTGTCATCTAGTGGCTGTCTTACGGTTTTGATGCATATGGATAGCCCGAATTTTGTCCATCCTACTTATATCACTACATAGCCAAAAGAGGCATTTTTTCTAAGGATTCTTAAAACTAGTACATGAATTCTCTTTTAGTCATTTGATTTCATGTTACAACCTAAGCATAAAATTTTGAAATCTCTTGAGTAAAGCATTTACTTTTGCATCTGCCTTTTTTTTTTTTTTTTTTTTTTTTGTGGTACTGGGGATTGAACTCAGGACCCTGCGCTTGCCAGGCAAGCACTTATTCTACTGAGCTATCTCCCCGGGCCCTGTGCACCTGTCTTAATTCTCTTTATCCTTTATAGGAAGCAACATTCAACAGAAGGAACAGATTCAAGAAGTGAGATTAAGCTACCTTGCCCCAAAAGAGCCTTCCTCCTGTCAGACCTGGAAGCAAGCTGTGAGTGGGTTAGTCAGGTGTCGAGATTCCATGATAAACTTTCAGGGAAGGAATTTTCAGTTGCAAAAGCAAGGCGATCCTCCCTGCGAGATGTGGGCAGGCATGCCAATCCAGATTTCCGAAGATGGGAATTATATAGTGACTCCTGTAGTGGATGATTCCAGTTATGTAAAAAATTGTGAATTTTCATGCTTGAGAGCCCAGCACTCTTGGAGGAAAATAAATCTGGCTGAGGCCCATAATCCTCAGTGTAAGTGTCAACAAATTTCCATGAAAAATAATTTCTGTAAGTGTGAGAGTATCTGTTGGATTTCACATCACAGTGGTAATCCAGGAGTACACAGAAATGTAAAAAATTGCAGTCGCAGTGACTGTGCAGAAGATATCATGGACGGATCGTTTCTTACTCAGAACTTGATCCAGGCAGAGCAGAAGCCCTGCCCATGTACTGAGTACAGAGCAGACTTCCGACATGGCTACAGCTCTGATGCTCAGCAGCAGCTGCACCCAGCAGGAGCACCCTGTGTATACAGACCGCGTGGGAGGGGCTGTAATTCCACGTCAGTTCTTCACAGTCATCGAAGTTTCCAGAGAGATGAAGATGATATTGGGAGTTTACGGCTACTGTCCCATCAGAGAGCGTGTACAGAGGAGAAATCGTGTGTGTGTGGTGAACATGGCAGGAACATCAGTCGGCACTCTTCTCTGAGCTCTTCCGAACTCGCCCACACAGGAGAAGTATCCCCAGGGTGCGAAGTTTGTGAGAAAGCCTTCAGTTGTAGTTTAGACCTCAGTAATAATTTTAGGTTACATACTAGGGAGGAATCCTGTGAATATGAGGAGAATGGGGGCATTTTTAATCAGAATTCATGTCTCTGGAGTCATCAACATCAGAATTTCCACACTGAAGAGAAACTGTACACCACTGTGGAGTATGGAAAGAGTTTAATTTGTAGTTCAAACCTTAATGGTCAGTGTAGAATTCACAGGGAAGAGAATCCCTGTAATCCGGAGGAGTGTGGTAATGACTTCAGCCTGGCCTCACATTTTCAGGGCTTTCAGATAGCTCACCCCAGGGAACAGCCATATAAACATTATGTATACAGTAGCAGCTTTATTCAAAATTCATATATTCAAGACCATCAGAAGATTCATATTAGAGAAAAACCTTATAAGGAGTATGGAAATGGCTTTGACTGGAGTTTGAAACTTAAAAATCATCAGAAAGCCCATGCTGGACAGAAGCCATACAAATGCAACGTGTGTGGCAAAAGCTTTAGTCATAGATCGGTTCTTAATGTTCATCAGAGAGTCCACACAGGAGAAAAGCCTTATAAATGTGAGGAGTGTGATAAGGGATTCAGTCGGAGTTCATACCTTCAAGCCCATCAGAGAGTCCACTCTGGGGAAAAACCATACAAATGTGAGGAATGTGGGAAGGGCTTCAGTCGGAATTCCTACCTTCAAGGCCATCAGCGAGTACACACTGGAGAGAAACCATATAAATGTAAGGAGTGTGGTAAAGGTTTCAGTCGGAGTTCACACCTCCAAGGCCATCAGAGAGTTCACACTGGAGAAAAACCATTCAAATGTGAGGAATGTGGGAAGGGCTTCAGTTGGAGCTTTAATCTTCAAATTCACCAACGGGTTCACACAGGAGAAAAACCTTACAAATGTGGAGAATGTGGTAAAGGCTTCAGTAAAGCCTCAACTCTTCTGGCCCATCAGAGAGTCCACACAGGTGAGAAGCCATACCAGTGTAATGAGTGTGGTAAGAGCTTCAGTCAGAGATCATACCTGCAAAGTCATCAGAGTGTCCACTCTGGAGAGAGACCATACATATGTGAGGTATGTGGGAAGGGCTTCAGTCAGAGAGCATATCTGCAAGGGCATCAGAGAGTCCACACTAGAGTGAAACCATACAAATGTGAGCTGTGCGGGAAGGGCTTTAGTCAGAGTTCGCGGCTTGAAGCACATCAGAGGGTGCACACAGGAGGAAAACCATACAAATGTGAGATGTGTACAAAGGGCTTTAGTGAGAGTTCACGCCTTCAAGCACATCAGAGGATTCATGCAGAAGGGAGACCCTATAAATGTGAACAATGTGGTAAGGGTTTCAGTGGGTACTCAAGTCTTCAGGCCCATCACAGAGTCCACACTGGGGAGAAACCGTACAAATGTGAGGTGTGTGGGAAGGGCTTCAGTCAGAGATCTAATCTTCAAGCCCATCAGAGAGTCCACACAGGGGAGAAACCATATAAATGCGATGCGTGTGGGAAGGGTTTCCGTTGGAGCTCAGGCCTTCTAATTCACCAAAGAGTCCACAATGGTGATAAATTCTATAAAAATGAAGAGTATAGTAAGGTTTATTCTTCCTCAGAGAGTCTACATGGAAATGAAGTCTTGTAAAATGATGTCCTGGTTTGTTTTGAAGTCTTCAAGAGGGAACTGAAAATTTCTGGTCACTAGCTAGAGTGCTTTTGGCATATGTGCTAAAGTGAGCACACTAGGGTTCTTTTAGTAGAAAAAAATTTTTTTTCAATGAAAATAATGTTTTCAACTTCAGTGTCTGATGGTTAGGAGGCCATACAACAGAGACGTTTGTGAGAGGAGTTCCATGATACATTTTGTCAAAACTTTACTAAGTTTCTACATGAGAACTAGGGCTTCTAAATATGAATGTGGTCAAGAATTCAACAAAATTATAATGATGAACTCGCCTAACTCTTATATCAAGTGGAATATAAGCTTGATGATCAAAAGGGTTTTGCCCACTGTTAAGTCCACAAAACCATGAAATTTGCAAATCACAAGAGGTACTCAGTACTTCTTTCTAAATGACTAAAGTATGTAAAAGTATATTTGAAAATTTTATTCAGCTAATTTCAAAAACTCATTGAATGGATTTGGAGGAGGAATTTTGCAAATGCTCTCAATATTACCTCAAGTAAATATTTGAAATGTAGAGCATCCAACATTGCAGCCTGAAATAACATGAATTTGTTGTACCCTTGATGGAATTCATTGCCATCATTTGTCCCATCCTAAGGAGGCACGAGCTGAATTTCTTAATATGTGGTCTCCTATGTACTACAGAGTCAAGTTAAGTTTACCTGTGTGTGTGTGTGTGTGTGTGTGTGTGTGTGTGTGTGTGTACATGTATGCACTTTAAATGACAATACAAACTGATAAAGTTTCTGAATAATGGCAAAAAATGGAATGCTGCATTTTACATAATTATGTTTTTACTTCTGCCTTCTGTATTAAGGCAGAGTTTTACTATAACATTTGGAAAATGTCAGAAGTGTTACTAATGACAAATAGTTTTAAATAAATGTCAAAGTTACAATGCTTAGTGATTTACTGTCTGTATTTCCTTTAAACTGCATTTATCTGACTGATTTGTAAGTGTAGGCTTTGTCCAGTCCAAACCTTCTTAGGCGGGATTTATAACAAACTTGAAGGACTACATTTCCACCTCCACAGTTTTCCCATTCACATAAAGGGAAGAATCTTGAATTAAAATTTTTTTGAGACATTTTTTAATTATTAGGCTAGTATTGCCATTTTATTTACTGGTCTCTACAAGAAAATTATTTTATTGGTAGGATTGAAAAGGACGAGCTTATCAAAATCTGCATGTAGGGCTGGGGAGATAGCTTGGCAGTGTAAGCGCCTGCCTGGCAAGTGCAAAGACTGGAGTTTGATCCCTGGTACTGCATGCCAAGCTGACCTGAAGCTGGGTGTGGTGGCACACATCTGTAATCCCAGTGCTGGGGAACTGGGAGAAGGATCACTAGGAGTCTGAACTGCATTGAAAGACCCTGTATCAAATAGTTTTTTTTAAAAATTTCAAAATCTGCATATACAGAAATGTCAACAGGAACACATTCTGAGAAATGTCATTGTGTGAACGTCACAGAGTTTACTTAAACTCAGAAGGCTCTAACATTGCAAAATCATACAGTCTTGTGCAGCTAGCATTATGTTTGCAATTACTGACTGAAATGTTATATGGTGCATGATTATATCAAAAATAAAGTGTGCATACCTACCAGGGAGTCAAAAATAATAATTTTTTTTTCAGAACCGGGGATTTCCATATTGAAAGTAGCATTTTCCCCTTGATTAGGAGGGAGGTACCACCACGCCTGGTCTCAGTGGCCAGCTCAACGTGCCTGGGGGCGGGGCCAGCATGGCATGTGGTGCCAGAGATCCAACCCCGGCCCCTGTGCTTGCCTAAGCAGGTGCTTAGTCTGCTGAGCTATCTTGCTAGCCTTCTATTAGCATTTTCATAGGCAAATTGAAGCAAAAGGATAGCCTCACCCTGAAGATGGCTAACCTGTCTCCGGATGGCCCTGTTGCAATCAGTCAACGAATTTCACAGAGGCCTCCTGTGGGCCCTGCTTGATCTCCAGAAATGACTGTGATTTAGGGTACCTGTTGTGGGAATGGGCGCTGGACTTGAACTGTGGGTAGATCTTCTCCCTTGTAGCAGCTGAGAAGTGATTTGTATTCCTGCAAACACATTCTTTTGTTTTGTTTTTCAGCCTTTGTTCTTCACAAAGGTCATCAAACTCAGTTCTCCATAGCAAATATTGCGTGATTTTGAAGCAGGTCTTTATTAAGGCACTTCAATCCCTGGGCGCCATGTGGTACTGACTTCCTGGAGCAGTAATCAGCCTTCAGGCATGGGTCTAGTTGGCCCATTTTCTTTGATACTCTTTTCTTTTTTGTCTTTTTGAGACAGGATCTCACTATGCAGTTCAGGCTGGCCTTGCGCTCACTTTGTAGCCCAGGCTCGTCTTGAACTCACAACAATCCTCCTGCCTCAGCCTCCGGAGTGCTGGGACTACAGGCTCTGATACTCTTTTTGATCTCTTTGTAGACTTCAAGTTGAAGGGTATGCATCCCATTTTGTATTTGCACTGGGAAAGCTATGATTGCCCCACCCCAGCAGCCTCCCTCAGGCAGTCTGTAAGTGCAGATTGGGAAATGAAGATAGCGCTGGTGAAGGTGGAGGAGCTGGCCCTCCTTTAAGATCTACTGGGCTAGTCGGGGGCACAGTTGGCAGTTGGGGGACGGTGGGCTTACTAGCTGACCGATTGGCCTTTTTAGCTTCCTTCTGATGAACAGGGACTAGCACAGTGCAACCAAGACCCCAGGCTGGCCAAGGGTACCCTTTTCCTTGTCCTTGAGCCCTCTTCAGATTTTCCCCACTCTGCCCCATATTTCGAGATCTAAGTTATGCACCATGGTCAGGAAACCATGGTTTATGCTTAAGTGCAAACTCTAAAAGTTTAACAAGCTATTTTTCAGTCACCAAAGCATTGAATGCCTTCAACCGTGGACTCAAAAACCTTGATGTAACTCTTTGACTCTCTTGGTAGTGACTACCCCATTGTTAGCCTGACTGAAAAACCATCCCAATGGTGCAGAAAGGCCCTAACTAACGAGCTACTTAATGAACTCTTCTTTCACTTTCCTTTGGCTTAGTCACTCACTGTCACAGCAGCTTTTGGTCCCTATTTGGTCGCCACTTGCTAGTTTCAGGCCAGCAAATCCTGGTACAAATGACAACTTGAGAGACAGAGAATTTCTTTGAGGAAGGGCCGAGAAATCCACCAAAATGGAGCCCCAAATTGACTTGAAATCCAAGGTTTACTGAGGAACACCAAAGCATAGAGTTCTGCTACGCACAGATGTTTGTTTTAGACTAGGAAGGCAGGTAGCAAGGCCTGATGACAGTTTGCCTGAATAACTTGTTTCATCATCCCCCAGAGAGCTTCCTTGCTTTCCCTGTAAGGCCCATCTCTTCTTGGGTTGGCACAACAGCCCATCTTCAAGATGGGCTCCTTGGAGTTACAGGCTTCTGCCACCAGAGTCAACCTGAGCAGATATTGACCCACTGGGTGTCACAAAGCACAAAAATATGAATTAAAATGAAGACACAGAGCCAGGAATATACCTTGGTGCCATAAGTGCCTATCTGGCAAGTGCAAGGTCCTGAGTTCAATCCCCAGTACAAGTAAAATAAAATAAAAAGACAGCATGTCAAAATGTGTGGGATGCGGCTACAGAAGTTCTTAGAAGGAACTGATAGCATTCGGTGGTTACATTAGAAATCATGAAAGTTCTGAAATCAATTATCTAGGCCTCCACCAAGGAGGGCAATATTTGTTCTGCTTTTTAAAAAATGTATTTGGCACAGGGTCTCTCCACAGCTCACGGGCCCTTGTTCTGCATTCTCTTTCCATACTTGACATCACCCTGTGTAAGGGTCTAGTCGCCGCGAAGGAAGACCCCAAGAGTCGGTCTCTCATGCAAATCGCAAAGGGAAAGTTTTATTATCTACGTATAAGTAGGGCGGTCTGAACACGCAGGAACAGAGCGTGCCTTCAGTGTAGCAGGCATAGTTTTTAAAGACAAAAAGCACAATATGGGGAGGGAGCAAGCAAGGTACAGAAGCAGATCGCATTGGTTAGTTTAGGTAGACCTTTAAAATAATTGGTGGGTTTGAGAATATGTGACTTTTTAAGGAAACTAAGAGGGGGTAGGTAAAGGGTAACTATGAGCTAATCCCGTGGCTCTGGGGGTATGTTGAGATCAGGTGGGTTTAGCTGGACATTGCGACCTTTTCTGAAGAATGTCCTAAGCCTGGAGGTAATGTTCTTTTCAGTTTGGCCTGAGGTTTTATGATTCCATCTGGAGTTTCTGAAGTATGGGTTACTCAAGCCCTATGACTATAAACTGGTAGGTAATCTCTTTTAACTGGAGTTTGAACTTTAAAAATTATTTGGGCCTTACACCTGATTTTCATTTTAGCCATTCTAATAAGTGTGTAGCTTTATCTTATTGCAGTTTTAACTTGCATTTTCTAGTCATCAGTGACACTAAGCATAATATTGTATGTTTGCCATACATACATATTCCATGATAAAGTGCTCATTTAAAATGTGCAAGGAACCAGGAGAAGAATAAATCAAACCCCAAGAAAGTAGAATGAAGAAGTAAAAGAACAGACACCTGTGAATGCAAAAATATAATGTCAATACAGAAAACAAGCCAAAACCTGATTCTTTGAAAAATTTAAATATCGTTAAAATGGAAACACTTCTAGGTAGACAACAACAAGAAAGGAGAAGCTACACATTACCATGTTAAGAATGAATAAATCGGGGCTGGTGAGATGGCTCAGTGGTCTAAAGCACCAACTTAGAACAAGCTTAGCAAAGCACAGGGACTGCAGTTCAATCCCCCAGCACCACATGCCAGCCAGCCCCGCCCCCTGGTGGGCTGAGCTGGCCACACACACACACACACACACACACACACACACACAGATTTTTCCTGAAAGTACACCTTTCACAGCAGTCTTAAAGTTTGCCGCAGAAGAATTTAAAGT